TGCCAAGGCCATTGTGTAGGCTCTTGGTCACTTGGAGAAAACTGATGGTTCTGATGAGTCACCAGAAGTTATGGAGGAAAATGGGCCAGAAGTGATCAATCTATTACCATTATCAAAGTGCTGGACATGGGGCAGCACCACCAGCATAAGTGGAGGACCCTGTACTTTATCCTTCTTAGCTTTCAGCAAATTTACCAAGTATGGCATACAATAGATGCAACGTCCCTGCCAATGCTTGCTGGACCACATGTCTGTGGTCATACAGACTCGGACACTGACTGCATGGTCCAGCAACAAGCTGGTGCAAACTAGGGATGCTATTCTGGGTAATAAAATGGTGGCTCCACAAATTATGTTTGTTCGCAGATAAAGTTTTGCTTTGTTTATCTATGCCTTACCTCATGCAGATTTTGTCTGTCTTTGGTAACATTTCATGTCTCCAGGTTAATCTTTTAAAATCCAAAGCACTTAACATCTCACTGCCACCGTATGTCCTTGCAGTCATACAAAGTTCCTTCCTTTTTTGTGGGCTCAGGAGAAATTGTCATATCTAAATGTTTTCTTGACCAAATCTTATGATACTTTATATATGGCTAATTAACCTCTGCTTTTTAAACATCTACAGTAACTCCTGGCTACCTGGGATGAGTACAACATGTCTTGGTTGGGCAGGATCATGGCATTGGATATGTCTCTACTCCCTAAGTCCTTATACTATGCAAGTGCACAGTGCCGGTTGCAATTGCTTGGTTTCTCTACTTCCCTATGCCACTAAATGGGAGTCAGAGCTAGGTGGTAGGATGTCACCTGAGAATTGGGATAAGATCAGAGGTACCCATATGTTGTGTTCCTAAGCACTCCTAAAAAAACAAAGGGCTATTCCCCAACTCAATTCAAGTTGCTTCAACATATCTTCACAGCTGCTAAGCACGTAATTGTGCATTCCTGGAAGACCCCCACACTCTCCCTCTAACTGTTCTTTGATAATATGTCCTATACCATCGTATTTGACAAGCTCACAGCTTGTCAGGAGGATAAAATGAACTAGTATCATGCTATATGGACTCCTTGGTTAGACTGTTGTATGCTCCTTGGCTTCCAAATGGCCTCCTTTCACTTGTAACATTACTTTGGGACATAACCACAGTGTTGATTACCTGGGTACAACTTGCATTCCTTTCCTTCTTCCTTACTCATCTTAATTTTCCCTGTGTCTACCCTTTTCGTATGGCAGCTCCCTTCTAATCAGGTTGTCCCTTTTGCATCAGCTTTTGATGTTTGGTCCTTCTGTTACTAAGGTCCTATGTTTTGTCACTTTTATACACTTACTGGGGTACTTTTGCACCCTTTGCATTTTAAAATATTATTTGCACTATGACATCCACTGTACAGAAGTTATCACTTCTCTATTCCTTTTTATGTTTTATCCACACTGATCTTTCTTTTTTGTTTATTACATGATGTGCCATACTGAGAGGCTACAGATAACTATGGTGCTGTGTTCAAAAAAGGCTCTGACCTACACCTGTGGGTCAGTGGTATCTGGTGCAATAGGTTAGCTGCTCCCTCCACTCCTCTGCAAGATACCCCTGTTGTGCTTCTCCCTCACTTAACTCCTCTACAATTTCTAGCATCCAGGTATGGTCTGCCACCTTGTCACACCCACCCTAGCCATGGCAATCTACACATTTAGCTAGATTTCTAGATTTCCTTTATAAAAATGTAATCTGTATATTTCCACGGATCGGATTTCTGCATGCTAGACTTTAACTATGCTACCTTTTCAACTACCTTTTCAAGTATGTAATACTTCTCCTTTGCAAAAACTTTTGCATGTAATAAAAGGTAAAAGGAGAAGTGTATGCAACTATAGTAAATGCAGCAGTTAAACAAGCTATATACACTTGGCGATCAGTAGAGTTACTGTAGTAAGCTTCATTATCAGCAAATGTAGGTGCACTTTGTCTGTGAGTATTATGGCAATGTTAACTTTGATCAAAATAAATGTTTATTATCTCTTTCAGATTATGTTATTCATGATGTTTCCTCTGGAGAGGAAGAGAAACGTGCAAACAGCTGGTGTTTGTCATTTTAGACTAATGATGTTGAAGACCTGGAAACATTTATGTCTCATTAAGGCAAAGAGATCTCCTGTATGAAATTCATTGTGTTTTAATTTTCTCTCACCAATGTCAGGGGCTTATTCCAGAATGAACTGCTTATTCCAGAATGCTTCTCAAAAAAGTTAAACCAATTCATGCTAAGTAAACAAAAAGGAAAATATTTGCATAATTTTATGTGTGATGAATCATAGTATAACAATTTAGATTTTTTTTTTTTCTGGTGCAAACATTCATTAAAACTTTAAAAATTTTCAATTCCTCCAAAACAAAAGTTAACTTTAATTTTTAGTGCAAATAGGCATGGCAGATTGTTACTAAAATATATGTGTAACAGGAAATGAATGTTATTTATCATCTGTGTGATAAAGAATGACATGGGGATCACAGAGCTGTGAAAGCTTGTAGCTTAGTTAACCATAAAAATGAATCAGATTTATGGCATCTTATTTTTTCTTATCTCTCTTGAAACCAAAATACATTTAATTAGCTATTGTCAATCACAATGTTACTTAAGACTACACCAGGTGGTCCATCTATACTATTCCACGCTATCACATTTCAAAGTACATAAAATCGGTTTCCAGATATATTTGACTAGGAAGCCTAGTCAGCAGCATTGCAATCTACAGTAAGTAATGGTAGCTATTAACCTCCATGCTGATTTTCTAGGACATGCACTACAGATGTCCTTGTCATGTCTAATGTGTAATCTTACTATCAAACCAGTTTTAGGAGGATACAAATCCACCCATTTCAACATGCAAACCTATTACATTCTATTAAAAAAAATTGGTTCAATCCACAAGCAACATTTCTCGGCATAAGGAGGTTTTGATAGTATATGGCACATGAAAGCATACCAATATAAAATTTAATTTTTCTAATTAAGAGCCAACACAATACTCTAACAAGCATAGTTTTAACAGCCATTAAACATACCTATGATGTTTTTTTAATAAGGTTTTTTCACAATATTTTATTTACTGTTACACATGAAATTCAGAAATAAGTTTAGCAATGGATGCCATATTGTCATGAGACTGTTGTATTCCTTTTAGCAATGACAAATATTTGAATATATTGAATGCAGATGCCAGACAAAGCAGCTGAACCCCCACTCTCCATCCTGCAAGTTGTGACACACAGCCTGCATGCCTACTCTGCAGCTTGGGTTTCTAAGCAGGCTGTGTGTGTGCACTCTCTATCTTGGACTTCATACTCATTAAGCAGCCTTTTTCACAACACTGACTCTGAGTCTACCCAGATTCAGCCTCTAGGTCTGCTCCCATTAACCCTTCCAGGACCTCCATGTCCGGGTACTAACAACCTGAACCGACAGCCACTACATACCTACTGCTTCCATGCTGAGATCTCCCTTAGCAACCATTTGATTGTCACTTCTAATCGTTTAGGAGAAGGACTGTATGCACAACCCCCTCTCACCTTCCTGAAAGGAATACTACAATCAGACTCCTTAACAGCAAGTATCTTTTGTTATTTATTGCCTAATTACTTTTCGCCTCTGTGAGATGATATAAACAGAAGGAGGAATATTGACTTATTAACTATTCAGAACTTCCTTGCCTTATTGACTTTCGTTTGACTCCCTGGAATGAGGTAACTGTGGGAGCAGATTCCATTTATGTTGTTCACAAACAGCAAAGGAGTGACACTCATACTTAAAGCACCTTTTTGAGTTGTACTATATTAACGTGCTCAGTGATAGCCGCAGCTGAGATTCATACACCCTTGCTACAGACATACACCAGTGTTACAAAATCTCATACAACATAACCTTCAGTTTTACATGACACTGACACTCAAAACTTTGCCCACATCCTCTTCAATAGATGATAGCATTAGCATGTGTTTTGCAAGTAATTGCATAGCATTTGTGGAGAGCTAAGAGCTTTTGGCCTGGGACGCAATTATAAACAACTGGCCCTTTTTTAGAAGTGACCGTTTTCTTGGGGCTAAAGAAAGTGCACCATACAAATATGTTTGCGTTGCTGCAGCAATTAGTGGACACAATGAAAGTGTTAAATATGGTTTATAGTAACACACATATGGATTGCTGGAAGACTGCCCTCTTCCAAATGATGTGATCTTAGGCCTGATCATGTAACAGGTATCTAAGAATGCCTAAATGTCACTGCCTCCAGGCCTTGCTCTGATTGGGACCTGAGTAGGGGGGTATCTGCACTCAAGGCCATCTTGAGGCATTTGTCAAGCATTGGTAGCCGATAATATAAGGTAAATGTTGTAAGAAACGTTGCCAATGTCAAGTGAGTCAAACCCTCACCATGTACTCCTCCAGATACTGCTTCATTTGCCACAGTTTTAGAAACCAGGGAAGGAATTTGATCATTTTAGCATTTCTAAAGCTAAATAGTTCAATAAACCAATAGCTTATTTCCTCCTTATATTAGTACTTCTTTATTTAATTGTTATGTCTGCAATGTATAACACTTTTCCTTTGTGGGGTGTTTTGGGGCAAAAACCTGAGCAATATTTTCGACCTCCCTCCCTCCAACTCCTCCCATTTCATTGGTACCTGAAAGTTCAGTATGCCAAATGCAAGCAACAGCTGCTAAACAGCAAAGTTTAGGAGCACTAGTTAAATTTTAATGTAAATTGTTATAGTTAGTTAAATTTTTCTGAAAAAGCCCTCTCACAGATGGTAACCAAAATGATAAATTACAAGTGAAATGCTGTGTAAGTAAGCAGTTATAAAATTATCCATGAAAGATATATGTAATGGATTTTATAAGAGAAACTCAATTACATTTCTGCAGAATGAGCTTGTTTAAAATTTCTTTCACCTTCAGTTGTTTGTAATGTGAAGCATTAAAACATTAGATATAAAATAAGTCTTACCATGTTCCATCCTGGATAGAGGTAGTCTGTTCCAACAAATTCAAAATAGTGAGCAAGCCCTTCCTTCAACCATACATCTTCCCACCATACCGGGGTTACCAGATCTCCAAACCACTACAAAGAAAGTGCAATAAGTGTTACATTAACACTGCAATGGAATTTCAGTTGCAATTAATAATTTTGCAGTTTTGTTTACTTAAGATCGGAAATATACTAAATAATGAGCATCAAATGGATACACATATAGACAAAGACAAAAAGGTGGAAAGTTTAATAAAAAATATTTACTCTACTTTCAAGCCATGATACAATTATACATGGGGAAGACAATACATTCTTGTTACGATGCATTTTAAAATGAGTTTTAATATAAATGTTATGCAAGGGTTTTTTAAAATATAGAGATGAGCCAAATGCACCGGGGTTTGGTTTATGGGATGTTTTCCAAATTCCCCCGAAGTTTGAACGGAAAGCCAAACCCTCATGGGGGCTGAATTTTTTTAATCGATTCTGTGCATTCTCTAGGCTTATAGGCAAGGGATTCTCATACAAAGGGCGAATATAAAAAGAAAAACACAATTCATTAGGTAAAACATCTTTTCATTGGGCTTAAAGGGCAACAATGAAAATACAAAAATCCTTTAAATAACCTGCTTGGGAAATGTCTTAAAGCTGTGCATGGTTTTATAAAACATTATAATTCTCTGACACATCATCAGCAACATGTGTAATAGTTTAGTTTACGTTTAGATCATTCCTTAGCTTAAGTACAGCAGCAACAACTCAATAAGATTGATTTGCACAGATTTTAAAGTCTTTTTCAGGTATTTAGTGGATATTTTTTGTGTAACAGTTATAGGACAGAATTGAACAGTGGAAGGAGCAGATACAATAGATGTAAAATCTATAAAAAGGTATACACAAAATAAAGCTAAATCCCCGGACTTAATAAAAATAGCCAAACAGCGAACAAACATATTTCATAGCATAGCTGGTGATCTTCCTTCCACTATCACACTGTAATGTGTACATAGTTAGTCAGGATGAAACAAAGTGTGCAAAGTTTGATAAAATGTCAACACGTAATACACCAATGCACCTCAAAGCCATAAACCCATATTTCAGTGATTTCAGCAGTTGTTATGCCCAAATAAAGATTACATTGCTATTTTTGAGAAATAGTAGCCAGACACATAGCGCAGTGGCTGGAAAATATGCAAGTAGTTTGAATGGGCGCTGGTCAGCAAGGTAAGAGGGAGGAATTAGTACTTTTTATCAAGAAATAAAGAGCCTGTTATTTCAATCAATAGAGGAGGAAATAAGGGTTTTATCAAACAATTGAAAATTGCAGTGTGTTTTTTGTGTGAGTGAAGACAAAATATTTTACAGATTTGCTGGACAGTATGTACTAATTTTTTGCTAGGATACAATTTCTGAGGGAGAGAAGAAGCAGATTTCATTTAAAATCCGAAAACTACAGCTTATTTTTTCTGAGATGGTAGACAGAAAAAAAATCACAGACTTGCTGGACAGTATGGGGTTAATTTTAAAAAAATGTAATCCGGCATATAGCGGGGAAGATGTTGCTTGCACTGAACTAGTACCAGTAAATGGTGATGAAGAGTATAGGAATTTCCTATACTCTTTACTCTTCAACGTCATCTAGGGTGCTAGTGCAATGCGAACAGCATCTGTCCAGCTATACGCTAGGCAGAACTTTTATGATTGCACCCACTTTTCTTTTTTGCTAGGGTTCAATTTCAGAGGCAGAGGTCAAGTAGATTTCATCTGCAAAATAAAAATTGATGGTGTATTTTTCTGAGAATGAAGGCAGAAAAACTGTAAAGATTTGCTGCACAGTACTTTGTTTTGGCTAGAACGCAACTTCAGAGGAAAAGAGCAGACACATGTCATCTGGAAATGTAGTGTCTTTTTCCTGAAACTGAATAAAAAATTGAAAAGATTTGCTGGACAATGTCAGAGGGAGAGAGCAAGCAGATGTTATTTGAAATCCAAAAATTACAGAATATTGTTTCTGAAATGATAAACAGAAAAAAATTACAGATTTGCTAGGATGAAATTTTAGAGAGAAAAATAAATAGCTTTCATCTGGAAATAAAAAAATACAGTATAGATTTGTTGCACAGTCTGTACTCCCTTGCTAAGATGTAATATTCAGAGAGAGCAGGCAGATTTAATCTGGAAATATAATTTTTTTTAATTTTTCTGTGACTGAAAGCAGAATTCATACCGCTGACAAAAATATATAGAAATAAAATATAATTACTGGAAATAAACCCCCCCAAAAAATAAACTCTCAAACATCAACAACCCTAAAATGCTACAACCCAAAAATGTTTTTTTAACATTTCTTTTTTTTTTCAGAAACTTAAAGTGTATTTACACTTTTGCAGTCTGATCCTCCCCACGTGTTTGTTATGTGTTCCTGTTCGCACAGCATACCTAAAAAAAAAATGTTAAAGTAATTTTACTTTTTAGATGTGCCTGTATAGCAGGCCTTTGCAAGCTTCTCCCTCAATTTCCAAGTGATTTGAAACTCTGGCTGTCCCCATAGTAAAACTAGAGACAGACTGAGCTTCCCCTCACTAAAGTACAATGCTTCTCGATATTTAACCCTTTGTTAGGATTGATATTGTTCAAATCTAGTTTACAACTGATAATGAGATCTGCCAGAACAGTACAAACAAAGTTTATTATATTATCATTAACCTAATAATGCAGAGTTAATTGAGGATATTGTAATTGGGGAGACACTGGGTAATAGTGATCACAATGTGATTACTTTCAATATTGAACACAGGAAAGGTAAGTGGGCTGGACGAACAAGAACCCTAAATTTCAGAAGGGCCAACTTCGATAAGCTGCGCAACCTAGTGGGGGAAATAAAATGGGAAAACGTATTTCACAACCTAAACTCAGACCAAATGTGGGACTGTTTCAGGAACACATTACATTGCTCTTTCAAAGTGTATACCGTTGAGTAACAAAAGCAAAAGATCAAAAACGAAACCTATATGGCTTAATAAAACTGTAAAACAACACGTCAAGGCCAAGAGAATGGCATTTATAAAATATAAGATGGAAGGGACGGCATTGGTGTTCCTTAACTACAAAGAATGTAATAAAAGATGCAAACTAGCAATCCGAGAAGCTAAAATAGAGTGCGAAAAGCATATCACCACAGTTAGGTAAAAAAAAATAATTCTACCAATATATTAACAATAAAAAAGGTGAGAAAGGAGCAGACAGGCCCAATAAAGGACAAAAACGGGAAGTTAGTCTTGAATGACAAGGAGAGGGCCGAGGCTCTGAACACTTTTTTCTCCTCAGTATACACTCAGGACGGAAACGGGTTTGACGTACATGATAAAACACATAGTTCAACACAAAATATACCACACTGGTTGACGGAAACCGGGATACAACAAAGACTTAAACTTCTCAATGCAAATAAAGCATTGGGACCAGATAACCTGCACCCCAAGGTACTTAAGGAACTAAGCCAGGTTATAACAAGACCATTATTCCTCATTTTTAAGGACTCCTTAATGACTGGTAGAGTGCCATGTGATTGGCGGAGGGCTATGGTAGTTCCAATATTCAAAAAGGGGGCAAGATGCTGACCTGGGAACTATAGACCGGTCAGTCTAACATTGGTAGTTTATAAACTGCTAGAGGGAATGATTAAGGACTATTTGGTAAAATTGGTTCAGGATAATGGCATAGTTAATGACAATCAGCATGGGTTCAGGAAGGACCGTTCCTGCCTGACTAACTTGCTAACTTTTTATGAGGGGGTAAGTAGAGATATGGATGGAGGGGGGCCGGTAGATGTGGTATATCTGGATTTCTCAAAGGCATTTGATACGGTACCACACAAATGCTTAATACACAAGCTGAGAGCTATGGGCATAGCTGAAGTGGTGTGTTCGTAGATAGAGAACTGGCTACTGAAACGTGTCCAGAGAGTACCTATAAATGGCACCTTTTCAGACAGGGCTAGTGTAATGAGTGGTGTGCCTCAATGATCTGTGCTGAGTCCCATATTGTTCAACCTATTTATTAATGATATCGGGGACGGAGTGAATAGCCATGTTTCTGTGTTTGCAGACGATACAAAAATAGGGAGGGTATTAGAAACGGATCGTGACAGTATAAAATTACAGGAGGACCTGGATAAAATAGGGGAGCGGGCGACAATGTGGCAGATGAGGTTTAATGTCGATAAATGCAAAGTAATGCACTTTGGAAATAAAAATAAACAAATGGATTATACAATTATGGGTATGCCACTAGGCAAGTCAGAAATAGATTTGGGGTTCATTGTAGACCACAAACTGAATGCTAGCTTGCAGTGCCAGGCTGCTGTAAACAAAGCTAGTAGGGTCTTGTCCTGTATTAAGAAGACAAGTCTATAATTGTGCCACTTTATAGATCATTGGTTCGGCCTCATCTGGAGTATGCGGTCCAGTTTTGGTCACCAGTACTTAGAAAAGATGTCCTTGAGCTAGAGAGGGTCCAGAGGAGGGCAACCAAACTAATTAGGGGATTGGAGGACCAGCGCTATGAAAGGCTACTGAATTTAAACATGTTCACGTTGGAAGTAAGGAGATTAAGGGGGGATATGATTTTCATGTACAAGATGTTCAATGGTGACAGAAACATTAGCAACAAACTCTTTAAGATTAACTCCATTACAAAAACTAGAGGCCACCACCTAAAATTGGTGGAAAAAAATTCCAGCACAAGGGGCAAAGGGGGTTGTTCACAGTAAGAGCGGTTAGGGTCTGGAACTCACTGCCACCGGCAGTGATTTCAGGTAAGAGTGTGGAATTGTTCAAGAAACTTTTGGACGATTTCCTGAGGGACCGTAATATTCAGGGATACAAGTATTCCTAAGAATGAGATGATGCGTGGACCTATATGGGCTGGACTTGATGGACTCATGTCTTTATTCAACCCCAAATACTATGTAACCTGCCCAGCCGTTCCTGCATTCCAAAGCAAACATCTGTACAGAGAACAACTTTTCTTTCAGAGTAGAGTATGTATTATGCAAGCAGCAATTGAAAGAAAAACAAATGAGAATACCT